TGAAGTGCTATTGTTGGCATTACACTCAAATAATCTTTTACTGGTACCTTAGTAGATACACCAACAGTTTGTTTGGGTAGGAATGGAGTGCTATTTCTGTCTAAGCCTAATATATATATATATTAGGCTTAGACAGAAATAGCACTCCATTCCTGAGCACGAATATAATTTTATAAAATATAATATCAATATAATAGAATGTATATTGCTTCAAGAGTTAGGTTTTAATTGTAAAAACAAAGGAAAAATAAAATCACATAAATGTTTTAAAACTATACGAACTCTTATTATTATACTTTGAAATTCGCTGATAATGGATTCATCCATGTTTATCTGCTGACGAATAATGGATTCATCCATGTTTATCTGCTAATGGATAATAGATTCATCCATGTTTATCTGCTGATGGATAATGGATTCATCCATGTTAATCTGCTAATGGATAATGGATTTATCCATGTTTATCTGCTGATAGATAATGGATTCATCCATGTTTATTTGCTTATGGATAATGGATTCATCCATGTTTATCTGTATTATAACATTGTGTTTCAAATGACTTTCATAGATTTTTTCTATAACTAGGTTTTATTATTAAATTAGAAAAAATTTACTTATTTTTATGAGTTTTTTGTTGATGTTTTAGTACTCCTCAAACTGTTGTTTGTAGCTGACAAAAATTATGAACATATCTTTATTTAGATGAAGCTGCCAGTTTTTTTAAGATTAAAAAATACAATGTGCGTAGGATTATCTTAAAGATTTTTACGTAGGATTATTTGATTATTTGAACATCATGTCGATTGGATGACAATTTTGATCGTGTATAAAGTTAAAAGAAAAGTCGGGAACAAAAAAAGGTAGTGACAATAAAAAAAAAGGTGATGACGAAGTCAAAGGTAATGACGGTGGTAGTGAAGATAACATGATTTTCTCAAGACTATTTTGCAAAAAAAAGTTTTCTTGTATAATTATTTGTTTTAAAATATTAAAATTACTTCTATTATTTAAATTTTAATTTAAAATTTTGCAATTCATAGATTTAAGTTCTATTGTTGCTTTACTTGCATTAATTTGAAATTTATTTATTAGTGTTTACAGAGTGACAAACAACAGATCATAAATTTTACATTTTTGAAAAGATACTAAATATGTAAATTTAATCTTTGCAGTGTATTTCTATGTTTAAAAATCTTAAAAAACTTTTTTATATAAACACATTGGTGTTATTGAACAGATAAGAAATGTCATGAAAAGTGAAAAAAAAAACAGCTGCTTTTTCATTTTCTTGAATTTTTATTTAATCCTAACAAGGTTTTTCTTTACCTTTTTGAAATACATTTTTTTTAGCCAATAAAAGATAAAAAAAAAATAATTACTGTTCAATAAACTGTGTTATTGTGTTTTGTTTCAGTTAAGCAGATGGACAATAAAAAAAATCAACAAAAAAAATAAAATATAAATTAACTGTTTCAATTTTCTTTACAGACAATAATAATTCAATGTATTAGGCGTTCAAGTGCATATAATTTTTTTTTTTTTTTTTTTTTTTTTTCAGCTTACAAAGTTAGTCGCTTTACAATACAATAAACTATTAAAATTACTTTACAAATATATATATACAAATCGTGATAACAGTGTAAACTAGGTTTCCGAAAGAAGATCATTAAGATCTTATCATCGGAACCTTAAAAAACATTTATAAACAATATAATTTACGAATACCTTGTAAAGTATACGTTACAGTAAAGTAAAATATATATATATAGAACTTTTACATTAGCAAATCTTTAAATATAAATAGTTGTTAACAACAAAACTTTAGGGAAAAAATATTAAAAATTTAAATAATAGATAAATTAATTAATAGTACTCTAAAATGTTATCGAGGGAAAAAATTAGATTTTTAATTTTGTTTTTTAAAAGACAAAAAGAATTTGGTCGATCAAAATCAACATTAGGTAAAACAAGTTTATTCCATAGGTGCGGTGCACGATAGGCAAGACAAAATTGATTAAAATTTGTTTGACAAAAAGGTTCGTGAAAGAAGTTTTTTCTTTTAAGAGTGTATTTGTTGCTGGGTTTTAAACTAAAAAAATCTTTAAAGACTGGGGGGGATAGATTGTTTTTCCACATATAAACAAAGCATAAAATTTTTAAAACGTTGAGTTGAAATACATTTAAAATTTTCATCTCAATAAAATATGGTTTACAATGAGAAAAACGATCAGCAAAGTTAATTATGCGAATTGCTCGTTTCTGACAGCGACAAAGACGAAGTAGTTTACTTTTTTCAGTACTTCCCCAGGCAATATTAGCGTAGTTTATGTAGCAGTGAATAAATGAGAAATAAAGTTGCCTTAAGTGTTTCTTATTGAGATAAGTTCGAGCTTTGTACAAAACTCCAATGTTTTTAGAGACTTTAGTGCATATATAGTTAATATGTTGATTCCAATTAATGTTCTCATCGAGATAAACACCTAAAAATTTAATAACAGAGTCTCTTTTTATTTCAATTTCATCAATAAAGATTGGAGGCAAGTTTAGGGGTAAAAATTTTTTTTTCCTATTCGAATGAAAAAGAGTCCATTTAGTTTTGTCAGTATTTAAAGTTAATTTGTTGGACTTGAACCAGTGGGATAAAACTTTAAGTTCTTTATTCACTGTGACAAAAAGTTCGCCAATATCGCTCTTAGAGATGAATAAATTAGTATCATCAGCAAACATGATGCTCATCAGATTAGTTGCTTTATTTAAATCGTTTATATAAATTAAAAAAAGGAGAGGTCCGAGGATTGAACCTTGTGGAACTCCACAGGTTATACTTAAACAATTGTTGTGATAGTTGTCATCACCAACAACAAATTGTTTTCTATTTGTTAAGTAACTTCTGAACCACCTTAACGCTTGGTTATTTACTCCATAGTATTTCAGTTTTTTGAGTAGGATGTGATGGTCAACCGTATCGAAGGCCTTCGATAGGTCGATAAAAATACCTAATGTATATTTTGATTGTTCAAACGATTTTGAAATTTCATTTACAAGTTGGATAATTGCATGCTCTGTTGAGCTATCCTTTTTAAAACCAAATTGATTAACATAGAGTAGGTTATTTTTGTCAAAGTGTTTATATATTCTGTTGTACATAATTCTTTCTAAGATTTTTGAAAATACAGAGAGCACAGAGATGGGGCGATAATTAGTTATTTGGGATTGGTCACCATCTTTATAAATAGGTGTAACTTTGGCAATTTTTAATTGTTCTGGAAAGATTCCTTGTTTAATTGAGGCATTAAAAACTTTGAAAAGAACATCTTTTAGTTGCTTAAAGCAATCTATTATCACATTTCCATCTATTTCGTCTGGTCCACATGATTTATTCTTTTTAATAGATTTGAGCGCCTTTTCAAGTTCTTCAATTGATAAATCAGAGGATAGCTCATCAGAGCATATGCACTTCTCCAAGGATAATAAAAAGTCACTAAACAAAGTTCTTGTGATAGGAATCTTATTTGATAGTTTAGGACCTATTTCAGTAAAAAATTTATTAAATTCATGTGATATAGCGTTTGGTTCAAATATGCTAGTGTTTTCTATTTTAATCATTTGTGGCAGTAAAGCAAAGCATGATTTTTGTTTTCCTATAATTTCCTTCATTATTTCCCAAGTGCGCTTGGTGTTATATTTGAATTTGTTAAGTAATTCCGAGTAATATTTTTTTTTTAAGTTTTTACGAATTTTCTCAAATAAATATTTATAGTTTTTGTAAATTTTTTCGTTTGCAGTTGTTTTTGTTTTTAGAAAATTTATATATAACTTTTGTTTGATTTTGGAAGATTTTTTAAACCCCTTGGTAATCCAAGGAGAATTCAAACTCTTTGGTTTTGCTATTATTTCAACTACGGGAAAGTTAGCGTCGTATACAGAATAGAAAGTTTTGAAGAAAGTTTCATATATGTCGTTTGCATTATTGTTTATGTTAATATTATTCCAATGGAGTAAGGATAGTTGGTCTTTGAATAAATTAAGGTTATTTTGATTAATGATACGTTTCTTCAATACTTTTTTGTTGTCAATGTTTTTTGCTGTATATGTATCAATTGTTACAAAAATGGGAAAATGGTCCGTTATATCAGTTTTTAATATACCTTTTTTTATACCCTTATTAAAAATATCAGTTGAAATAATATTATCGATTAAAGTCGCTGAGTTTATAGTTACTCTGGTAGGGTGATTAATGAGGGGGATTGATCCTGTTTCAAAAAATGTGTCATAAAAACTTTTTACTTTATAGTCATTGTTATAAAGAAAGCAATTCATATTAAAATCCCCAAGCAAAATATTTTTTTTCTTTTCGGTATCGCCTTTTTTAATGACGTTATGCAAAAACATGCAAAGGTTTTCACTCATGCCAGCAGGTGGCCGATAACAACAGCTAACTAATAAGTTTTTTTTGTTTGGTTGCTTTCAATTTCAATTGTTAAGACTTCTTTGTCGCTATCAGAAATGCACAAATCGCCTCTAAAAACAAACCTAAGTGTTTCGTGCGCATAAATTAGTACTCCACCACCTCGTTTATTTATTTGTCTCTCCAAAGAAATAATATTAAAATGCGGAATTTGAAAATGACTATTTAGATCTTTTGATGTAATCCACGTTTCTGTTAAACATATTATATTAAAAAAGTTTTTCGTTTCTTCTATTAGATTTAAAAGTTTTTCAAAGTTACTATTTAGACTTCTTATATTGAGGTGGAGAATTCTAATTTGATTCGAATTTTTGTCAATAACATTCTTAAAAAGATACTCTTCTAGTTCGCTTGGAAAAATATACGAACAATCTGAAAAAGTCTCACAATAAAAATTATTGTCGGGATCTGAGTTTTCGTCCTGGGAAAAAAATTCTTTTTCGAAAAAATTAAACGCGAGAGATTCAAAATTATTTAATGCAGCCATGATTGTTTTATATATGTTTAAAAGAGTTCTTTTTAAGAGTGTGAATTAGTTTACTTTTCTATTGTTATCATAAAAAGAATTTTTAAAACAAATAATTTTATCATACCGAACCGCAACATTCTCTCCGTTTAAACGTCTTTGTTTTACGTCAGTAAACAATTTTTTCCTGATGGCAACGGTTTCGAGTGAAAAGTCTTCGTTAACGAAAATGTTTGTTCCTTTTATTCGTTGTAGTTCTTTCAGTATTTTTACTTTATCTTTATATCGTTGAAGGTTGAGGACTATTGTCCGAGGTTTTCCATTTTTCTTTTGTCCAGTGCGATGGGCACGCTCACTTTCAATATCTTCAACACCAAGTTTTTGTTTGAAAAATAAGTGGACTTTTTTTTCTGTTTGTCCCCAGGTTTCTTTTTCGTCTTCGTATAATCCATCTATTCGTAGATTATTTCTACGTGAACGATCTTCAAGTTTTCGATGTTTTTCTTTTAAAATTTCGTTTTCGATTAATTCCTTTTCTAGTTGTTTGCTATTGTATTCGATTTTTTTATCAATAATGCTTTCGTTAAAGTTTATGCTATCGCTTATTTCTTCAATTTCTTTTTCAATTTTTTTGATTTTTATTACATTTTCATTAGCATTGCTCTCAAGCTTGTCCAATCTTTCGTTTAAAATTTTCAGATTTCCACTGATTATGTCTAGAACTGTTTGTTCGTGTTTTTTAAACATAGCTTCGGTTTCTTTTTTAAACTCATTAAACATTTCTTTTTTAAATTCACAAAACATTTCTTTAAACATTTTCTTTATTTCTTGAAGAGTCAAAGCCATAATGATTTACAAGGATGCTGAATTGATTTATAAGAAGATATGTATTTAAATGTTTATATGTTTTTAAAACTTTTTTCTTTCTTTAAAACGCGTCTGTTCGCTTTAACGTATTAGCGTAGCGTAATTCGATGTGTCGAGCGTTCAAATTTTGTTTTTGAAATGTTTGTTGTTTATGTTTTGTTTTGTTTTATTGGGCTCATTTTTAATGTCTTTGGTTTTGCTGTACTTGTTAAAATCAAATATGAGTTTGATTTAATGCAGCGATTTATTCTTATTCAACTTTGCATTGTGCTTAAAAACATTATTTTGTGCTTAAAAACATTATTTTTAATGATACTCTACTTTGTGTAGGTGCAACCTTTACAGTAGTTTATTATAATACAATATGTTGGTTGGTATTTGACAGGTTTTTGCATATTAAGTTAAACGTAAAATACATCATGTATTAGTCAAAAAAAAAAAAAATGATGATGATAATAGTTATATGGGGTTTTGCTGCATTGATTGGAAGCTTACATGTTCTAAAAATATTAAAAAGTTATAGCTACATTATTTGGACTTGTTTTGATTGTTTTGTAATTATTTTTTCTTTTTTTTTTACACGTATGCTTTAATAGTTAATCACATGCACAAAGCAAACGTTCGATCCAACGTACCTGATAGAAAAATATTTAAGGGATTGTTGGTATCGATTGCTATTATAATAACATTTGTTGTCTTTTATGCCATTCCTGATACCATCATGTTTTTATATCAAATACAAGTTATTCATACTGATCCTTTAACAAACATCTTTTATGAAATGTCATTACCATTATCTTTGTGGACTGATGCAGTAATATATATATTTGCGTCTCGGAGAGTAATAAATTTTCTAAAAAGAAAATTAAAACGCTTACTTTGCAAGCAAGAACCAACTACCAGAAATGAATTTTTTTTTTGCAAAAGTTTTCACTAAGACAAAAGAAAAATCAAGCTTATAAAAAACCTTATAAAAAACAAAAATTTATTCAAAGCTTTATAAATACATTTAAAAACTATAATTCCTCTAACATGATTCATTAAATTTTTTTGGAGTCAGTACCTAAAAATGACATTTTTTTTTTACTTTTAAAACAGATTTGTAAAATGTTAAATGAGAAGTTTTAGTATAAATGAATTTTTTAAATATGTTATATATATTTTAAATATTTTCAAAAACGATATTGCGCATCACACACAAACTCACACACACAATATATTTTAATCTGGTCTGAGATTACTAACACGATAGAAAACCTGAACTCTGAATCTAAAAAGTAGCGAACCATGATTTATGGATTAAACTTCATAAACTGTATATGACGAAAAACAAAGGCATATTATAATTTTAATAATATCTTTAGAAACTAATACTGTATTTATAAATATCATTACTCATCAATTTTATATTTTGCAAGTGTAAAGAAGGCTTATAAGATGATCAATTTAATAAACACTACAAAAAGTTCAATTGTTTTCTTCTTAACAACTCTAATAAAAAAAAATTCTATTACTTCATTCACTTTTCTATTACATTTTTTAGATGATGTGACATTTTCCCTAAGATCACATACATTTTAATAAGGATGGTTTTCGACTCACAAATAGCATTTACACCATTTTGTAAATTAAAGACTTCAAATAGCCAATTTTTTTTATAATAATAATAACAATTGTATTATAAAAAATATAACTTTTGATAGTAATATTAACAATAATATTATAAAAAATATATTTTTTTATAACAATATTAACAATATTAACAAAAATCCATAAATGTTTGTCTTGAGAATTTAAACGCTTTTAATATATATATATATTAAAAAAAAAATATATATATATATATATATATATATATATATATATATATATATATATATATATATATATATATATATATATATACACATATATATTAGCGAAGACTTTTTTTAAAAAACGATAGTTTTATTTTCAATAATGAGTTTTTAAATCAATTATTCAGTACAGTCATGGAAAGAATATTAGCGCAACTCTATGCTTGTTTAATATTAGGTTATATTGAAGAAGTGAAACTATTTTATATATAGTCTTTCCTAGTTTTTTCAACAAAATTTGTTGTCAGAATATTCAAAGCAATTTCAAAAGTTATGTGAATAATAGTTTTATTTTGTTTTTCTCAAATTAATAAATGTTAATTTGCTAGTAAATGTCTTGTTTAGTTACACCCAATATTAAATATAGAAAACTACACCCAATATTTAGTTCACACAACATTAAATATGCAGAAAAACATTCAAAATTTCACATACGGAAACTCACAGAATCATTTTCAGAACTTTTTAGGCATAACAATTGTTTATGACAATTAAACGTGATAAACATATTGTTAAAACAGATATAATTTACAAACCTACAAATTCTTAATTTTGTAAAATATAAAACCCTAAATATAAAAACGAAAATTTACTTTTTACTTTAGCAAAGCGCATTATTTATTTTATTTCTAGCCTCACAAAAATAAAAATAAAAATTTTACAACTCTTATATTCTATATCTCAATGTAAAAACCATAAATATATACCCAGTAAAAACCATAAATAACGGAAAATTTTAATTATCAACTACAGGGCTCAGCATCCCAGAAAAGAAAAAGAAAAAATTACCTTAACTTAAAATTAATAACTGCAAAGTTTGCAGTTATTAATTTTGAAAACTTAATTAACATTTTACACGGGATAATGAAACTCTTATCTTTTGGCGCCCCTAACATCTAGGCGTATGCTCATTTTGCCCTGGAAGTGATATCGCTGGTTATCAAGTATTAATGCATCTATATAAAAGATATCGCTGGTTATCAAGTATTAATGCATCTATATATGGTAGTATTTAATAATTTTTAAACAGTTTATTAAGTTTTTATTTTTTAAAAATTTGAAAAATAGCTGAGTAACTCAAGATAGCTAAAGGCTGAATCACAAAGACTATAAAAAAAAGTTTAACATTTTGAATTATGCTTACAGTTATGTTAGAGGCTAGAGTAGAGGCTAGCAAATTTTTTGTAAGAATAAATAAAAATTCAATCTTTATTACAACTATCATAAAAATTCATTTCATACCCTCGGGATTCAAACAAATTTACAATCCATCCCCGCGGGTTTGCAGCAACAACTGAATCTATCCTAGCGGTAGTCGGAGGGGTTTTTGTGAAACCCAAACCTCGTGCGAAAACGTTTCAAACGGCTTAGATGCAATTTTGATTTACGGCTTAGATACAATTTACGGCTTACTTACTTACGGCTTATATACAATTTTGATTGTGTGCCTTTGCATATTAAAGAGTTTTTAAATTTATTTTATTTGTACTAAACTAAGCAATCTTAGCGTTATTAGTTAGAATCTCACTATGGCAACAGTAGCATCTCCCACTCTTATTTCTATTGTACATAAACTATTTATACTTAGCAACAAATCTTTTTGACCTAATTTTGTTTGCTGATGATTCCAATCTTTTTTGTTCTCACAGAGATATTAAAACACTTTTTAAAGTAGTGAATGAACAGTTATGTAAAGTTAATGAATGGTTTGTAAGTAACAAATTTTCACTAAATGTGGACAAAACAAAATATACACTTTTCCATAAACTAAATATATCAGAAAACATTCCTCTTAAACTTCCAAATCTTATAAATAATAATACTCATATTAAAAGGTAAACTTTTTAGGAGTAAAACTGGATGAAAATTTACTGTGGCGTTTACATATAAACAGTATTGAAACGACACTCTCAAAAAATATCGCAACGATGTTTAAGGCTTTTTCTAAATGTAACATCCCTGAAAAAATTATATTTTGCTTTTATTCACAGTTATTTGTCTTACTGTAATATTGTGTGGGCTAGTACTGGCTATACAAAACTTAAGAAAATTTGCAATAAACAAAAACATGCGTGCAGAATAGTGTTTGGAGCCTGTAGAAATTCTATTTGCGAACCATTTTTACGTGCGCTCGGTGCTTTAAATGTGTATAAACTCAATTTACACCAAGTTTTATTGTTTATGTTTAAAACAAAAATAAGATAGTTCCCAAAAATCTTTCAAATTTTTTTTAATAAAATTAATCATAAGTATTTAACTAAGTTTTCAGATAACAACTTTGTTCTACTCAAATATAATCTAAAAATAACCTCCTATTCAATTAAATACTGTGGACCTTATCTGTGAAAAAATTCCCAGATATTGTCAACAGAAACAAGACCTTAGAGCGATTCAAGAGTGAATCAAAAAGATTATTACTGTTTAGGGAATTTAATTTTTCCGACTTAAAATGTTTCTTTTAGTAAGCTCAAAGAGCTTAAAAAAACAGATTTATTTATACCAATGAAATTAAAGCGATGATGTTCAAAATTCATTTAGTGATTATGTTAATTATGAAATTTTACATTATTTTTTTATTTGAAAATTTTTGTTTAAGTGTTCTTTTACATTTTAGCGGTTGTAAGCAATTTAACACTTCTTAATTATTTGCTATTTTGAATTTCTTTAATTTCTTAGTTATTATCTGTTTTAATTCTGATTTATCTCTTTATATATATTTGTATGTTACGGTTATCTAGGTTTTTTTTATATATAAGGGGCTCAGCGGAAAGGCAAAATGTGCCTTCTTCTTGCTCCATTAATTTCGATAAATGTATATGCAATGTAAACATTTTTTGACGGCGAAATAAATTACACAAAAAAAAAATGTAAAATTATTTTTAAAGATCGTTACA